GCAGAAAACCGTCAATTTTGTTCATTAGTTTTCGTTATTATAGTTATAGTCAAACTCATCAATCTGCAAATGATTTCTATGTTTATCAAGTTCTCGTTCATCGGATTGCAGAAAGCTGTCAATTTTGTATCTCTTGTTTTGTTATCATGGTTATAGCCACCATCATCAATGAGGAAATAATTTTTACGTTTATCAAGGGCTCTTTCATTAAGTTGCAGAAACCCATCAACTTTTTATTGTTTAATCATGGTTATAGCCAAACTCATCAATCAGCAAATGATATTTATGGTTATCAAGGGCATTTTTACAAAGTTGCAGAAAACTGTCAATGTTACCTATTTTCCGTTATAATGGTTATAGCAAAACTTTTCAATTAGCAAATAATTTATACATTTATCAAGAGCTCTTTCATCAAATAGGAGAAAACCCTCAATTTTGCTCTTTTTTTTTTCAGTTATCCAGGTTATAGCCAAACTCACCATCAACAAATGATTTCTACGTTTATCAAGAGCTTTTTCATGAGGCTGCTTAAAACCTTCATTTTTGCTCCTTGTTTTTTTATCATGGTTATAAACTCATAAATCAGAAAATAATTTCTACGTTTATCAAAAGGTGCTTCATTAGGCTGTAAAAAAACCGTTAGTTTCACTCTTTTTTTTGTTATCATGGTGATAGCCTATCTCATCAAGCAGCAAATGATTTCTACGTTTATCAAGAGCTCTTTCATCATTCTGTAAAAACTTATCAATTTTGCTCATTTTCCGTTATAATGGTTATAGCAAAACTTTTCAATCAGCAAATAATTTCTACGTTTATCAAGAGCTCTTTCATGAGACTACATAAAACTGTCAAATCTTCTCCTCTCTTTTTGTTATCATGGTTATAGCCAAACTCATCATCAGTAAATGATTTCTACGTTTGTCAATAGTTTTTTCCTGAGCCTGCAGAAAACCGTCAATTTTGCTCCTTTTTCGTTATCATTGTTATAGCCAAACTCATTAATCAGCAAACGATTTATAGGTTTATCAAGTTCTCTTTCATCGGATTGAAGAAAGCCGTCAATTTTGTCTCTCTTGTTTTGTTATCATGGTTATAGCCACACTCATCAATGAGCAAAAATTTTTACGTTTATCAAGGGCTCTTTCATTACGTTGCAGAAACCCATCACCCTTTTTTTTTTTAATCATGGTTATAGCCAAACTCATCAATCAGCAAATGATATTTATGGTTATCAAGGGCATTATTATAAAGTTGAAGAAAACTGTCAATTTTACCCATTTTTCGTTATAATGGTTATAGTAAAACTCTTCAATTAGCAAATAATTTATACATTTATCAAGAGCTCTTTCATCAAATAGGAGAAAACCATCAATTTTGCTTTCTTGTTTTTTGTTATCCTGGTTATAGCCAAACTCACCATCAACAAATGTTTTCTACGTTTATCAAGAGCTTTTTCATGAGGCCGCATAAAATTTTCATTTTTGCTCTTCTTGTTTTTTTATCATGGTTATAAACTCATAAATAAAAAAATAATTTCTACGTTTATCAATAGGTGTTTCATTAGGCTATAAAAAAACCGTTAGTTTCGCTCATTTTTTTGTTATCATGGTTATAGCCTATCTCATCACGGAGCAAATAATTTCTACGTTTATCAAGAGCTCTTACATCATCCTGTAAAAACTTATCAATTTTGCTTATTTCCTGTTATAATGGTTATAGCAAAACTTTTCAATCAGCAAACGATTTCTACGTTTATCAAGAGCTATTTCATGAGACTACAGAAAACCGTCAAATCTTCTCCTCTTTTTTTGTTATCAGGGTTATA